TGTGTTTGTCCCCTAATGCCTTGCCTTACCGCAGTCTTTCTTACATAGCGGTCTTGGCGCCCAAGTCTTCATGTTAGTCCATAGACGGGGTCGCGTCCTGTAATTAAAACCATACTTGCAGTCATCCACATCAAAGTAGTCCAAGTCCAGCGCAAACGGTTGTTGCTTCGACAGTCCCGTGTGGGGGTTTTCAGTCACATGGTCTTTAGGGTTGAAGTAGTCAATGATTCCAAGCGTCTTCAACATCTTCGTAACCCCGTTGTCTTTGCTCTGCTGTATTCGGTGCAGGGAGGTGATGTCGGCGATCTTCAAGTCCAATGACACAAGACCCCAACCAAAAACCTTGGCAAAAGAGACAAGAGAGAGACCGCAAGAGCTGAGGGATGCGTGGATGGTAGGAGTAGGGAGAGACCCAACATGTCGTTTTCGTCGTCAGACCCAACATGCCTTGTCCCCCCACTTCCCTTCGCGCATCCGCCCCGGCCACAGGTACTCCACCACAACGCGACGCGCGCAGAACCTCCACACCTTCCTCCGGAACACCGACTACGAGCAGGGGCGATACGACCGGGTCGTGCGTCCGCGTTTTTTTGTAGTTGCAGGATATATATATAGGATTATAAGTGTAGCAATATTTATGATCGTATTTAGTCCTTAGATGTTGAAACAAAGTTTTCAAAGTCCGCCGGCAACAAAACTTCACTAACCAGATCTTCCGAAAATCTGTATAACTCGTCCTGAGATTGAAAGGATTGGTATTCCAGTCGCTCTTACACAGTAAAGCGCTGTGCTGTTTCTATGTGTTTGTCCCCTAATGCCTTGCCTTACCGCAGTCTTTCTTACATATTGGTCTTGCGTCCAAGTCTTCAAGTTGGTCCATAGACGGGGTCGCGTCCTGTAATTAAAACCATACTTGCAGTCATCCACAGCAAAGTAGTCCAAGTCCCGCACAAACGGTTGTTGCTTCAACAGTCCCGTGTGGGGGTTTTCAATCACATAGTTTTAAGGGTTGAAGTAGTCAATGATTCCAAGCGTCTTCAAGACTATTTTATTCGCTTCTTCAAATACCCCTAACACCCGTTTTTGCTCTGCTGTATTCGGTGCAGGGAGGTGAGGTGTGTGGATATTGCTTGTAGTTCCACACACCTCAGTTGATGTCGGCGATCTTCAAGTCCAATGACGCAAGACCCCAGCCCAAAAA